ATAGTGTTTCTATTAGCAACTTTTCGTGAAAACTTGATGATCTATCCCTTTAAGACTGTAAATTTTATACTAGTGTTTTTCTTGATAATTTTCTGTGTTCTTGGAGGCATATTTATAACTTCTATTTTAAGATGTGTGGTAAAATTATTTTCTCAAGTTATCTGTAAAAAACTATGTTTTCATGTTAAAAATAAATAATTTTTTTTTATTTTTATTATTTGCCTTATTTTAAAAACAATTGAATTATTTTTATTTGTTGGGGCTCATATGGTTAAATTTTGAAATAATAAATTTAAAAATGAAGTTTGTTAAATAAATCATTTGGTTGAATGTTACTAGGTATCATATACTTCAAACCTCTTAATTTTTTTTAATACATTTTCAGAAATGTTTATTTAATCTTCACAATCAATACAAATGAGTTTTTTGTTCGTGTGCAATGTGTGAGCTCGGTGAGTACTACCGAGGAGCGGGATACTGTAGGAGGGGCTGCAAAGCTTTTGTTTGGTGAAGGGTTTACAAAGCCTCTCTATGATTGGTTCCAACTGATGGGGATATATTGGTGGTGAAATTATTGTGCTGATTGTTTCAATTCAACTCTCTCTTTGTTGTCATTCTAGAATGTTAGGTGAGGACTAGAGATTGGCTAGCTGAATGGCAATTGTGTACCGGTAAGGTATTTGAAGTAAAATGTTATTTATGTTTCGGAGTGTGTTAGTTTCTTTTGCAATAGGGATTGAAATCAAAATTAATTGAGAAGATCTTTTAGTTTGGCTTGCTGAATTATCAAAAGAGAAACAAGCTCGTCTCCATTTTTGTGCATTATTGAATGCCTCATATGGATGTGTTATGCTAAGAAATCTACTCCAATTATTTGGAAATGATTGTTGCTGTTAATCTTCTTTTGTGTTATGCCTTTTGGGTGATGATGGTGTGGTAGTTCTGGACTTTAAAAGCAAATATTTTGATGGAACTTCCTAAATCCTTATTTATTTTGAAGAGAAGATTGTGGTGCACAGTAAAAGTTTTCAAGTGTTGAGGAGAAAAGGTTTATCAGATTTGAAGTATGAACACCTCCATGGGGGGACGGTAGTAAAGAGAGAATGATAAGAAAGAATTCAAGGAAAAGCCTAGAAATTAAACTTAAAAAAATGCTATGGCCTGCTTACATGTATTTTCAAGCTTAACATTCGGATTTATTAAAGAATTTTCTGATTCTGTGTGATCTTGTGTTGCATTTTTTTCTGCATTTTTGTGCAATTTGTTAATCGTTAAAATTGTCTTCTCTTTTCCTTGTTATTATGCTTTGTGGATAAAGGAGACGTTACAACATCAACATGAGTCTTTTTTCTCCAATGTGTCCTATTGAGGGTCCTATTTTCTTTTAAATCTAATAAATTAAGATAATTTTTTATACAATATGCTCGAGTCTTTTTAGGCTAAATCCTTTCTTAACATAAGCCAAATTTATAGCATCTATTTTCTTAACAAAATCACTAGATGGTCGACGTTTAATGTGACCAAACCATCTAAGATGATTCTCTCTAATCTTGTTGCCACTGGAGCTACATCAACCCTTTCACAGATACATTTGATTCGCATTTTGTTTTTAATTGTCAAACCACTCATACACCTAAGCATTCTCATCTCAGCAATACTTAGTTTTATGCTTCTCTTTTAAAGGCCAACATTTTTTGCCATAAAAGAATTGCATGCCTCACTCTCCGGTTTATAATTTTTTTTTTTAAATCTAAGCGGTACTTTTCAATTGCACATTAGGCCCAATGCATTCCTTCACTTCAACCATCGAACTTGAAATCTACCATAACATCCCCGTCTATATGACCATCACGTTGAACAATAAACTCGAGCTATCTAAAATGTTCATAGCTTTTAATGATTTGATCTTCCATTGTTACAACTCTGCCACCAGACCTACTACCACTAAAATTACATTCCATTTAGTTTTAGATCTACTCAAATGAAGGTTTTTAGACTCAAATGTAGACCTGTATGATTTAAGTTCTTCTTGAACTTAGTCTTATCCACAAGAAGGATATCATCTACTCAAATGAAGCTACATTCTCCTGCAAATGTCCAATAAGAGCATCAAAAACTAAAGCAAAACTATATGGTCTTTATGCCGATCCCTGCTGTAATGCAAATGAAATAGGAAAATACTTGGTCAATCCTCTTACTGTTCGAATATAAGGAATAACTCTAGTGTACATATCTTTAATCACTTGAATATAAATCATATCAAAACCTTTCTTTTTTAGAACTTTTTAAAGAACTTGGAACATTATTGTAATCTTTTTTCTAAATTAAGAAAAATCATATGTAAATCCTGCTTACTTTTGCTGTATTTATCCAACAACCTCTCAATAATTATATAGCTTCCATGATAAACTTGTTCGGCATAAATCCAAAGTGATTATGTGAAATCTTTGCATGACGTCTTAACCTATGTAGAATTATCCTCTCCTAATTTTAATGTATGATACATTAACTTAATTCTTCTATAATTTGCACGCACTTGTGAAGTACTTTATTATTAAAAATGGGACTAAAATACTCTTCCTCCACTCATACATCTTTTTTGTGTTTAAAATAATGGTAAAAAGTTAAGTGAAGAAACTCCTTAATCTCCTAAATATTTTTATCTTTCTATTGAGATATCATGAGCTCCTACTGATTTTCTAGTATTGGTTTTCAGTCGATTGAGATATCATGAGCTCCTACTGATTTTCTAGTATTGGTTTTCAGTTCTCTAAGTTTCTATATTTAAACTAGTTTTGATAACAAAATTTTAAAATTTATCTTTTCTTACATACTATTATATCTTTGTTGCTTTGATATTTTTGGGACTTTATTTTCTTAAAATGAACTCAAACAAACATTGTTCAAAATTTGTACTTTTATATCATTTAATTTAATGATCGTTTGATTCAATTATACTAACAAGTTTTTCATTTAGTTATGCTAGCAGAATAAGATTAACATCTTGTGCTAATCAAATCCTATCCGAGCTTGTTCATTTTGTTGGTTAAGAAGCTTTGGGTCGATGAGATTGATTTTGGCATTAATTTTGGTAGATCAGGGCCGGGTATTTTGTTGTTATATGGTAGTATTTTTGTAAAATCCTAATGGAAAATTGTCGGATTTAAATTTGAATCTGGCAATTTGAATTATAAAATCTGGCCAAGAGAGGAAAAAGGAATTCAGTCAGATGTTAAATGATTCATAATTATTCCACGGTCTCTTATTTAGTTGTTTAGGTAATTTTTTTTAATTAAAATGATTTATTTTCAATAATATAAATAGACTTATAAAACATAAAAGAATGGTGCACTTGTTTGTTTTAAAAATTGCAAGCTTTTGTTGGCTGAATTGTCCAATTACTTGAGAATGAAATAATTTGAGGAAGATTGTCGGACGGCGCGGTTCCTACTTGTTGGCAAAAGATTAGTAATGATTTTCTGTTGATGTGGGAGTTCATTCTCTGGCTAGATTTGGGTACGCTAGGCAAATTCAGTCAGTTACGTTCTCTCCTTTCTGCTTTGTTGGCTTCAGCTTGACGGTGTGCTGTAAATACAACGACGATTCGCTGGATTTGATTCATTTCGGCAATCCAACTTATATGATCTGGTGTACAAAAACATGCCCTTCTTATATTTTTTAACATTTTTATTGTCTTAAATCAACTTCTCAAAAGAAGCGTGTTGAAGAGGGTCCCTTGGTTTTCATTGATATCTACCTGAGAATATGATGCGATTGTATGTAATAGTTAGGCAATGCAGAAATATTTGAAATTTTTCGAACAGGAGATGATAATGTTGAAACGTGTGATGCTATAAGTTCATTGCGGTTTGGTGGCATGGAAAATACTCTTTATTATAATAATTGTTATTATCATTATTAATATTTTATTGCAGGTTAATTATATTAGAAATGTATGCCTAATAAGACGGGCTCTTAAACCAGCAATTTCTAATCACTCCGGAGCTTCAAATAATAGGTTTAATTGATTATATGAAAAGCTCTACGCACGATAACTACTGGAAACAACGTTTTTTTTTTTAATGAAAGTATAAATAAATGCAGATTTTCCTTTTTTTTTTTTTTTTTTTTTTGGTTTATTCTTTCAGAATGGAACGATTAACTTCTTATCCGACCAGTAATTGTACCGTACGTGTAAGTACTGAGGGAGGGTGAATTAATAAATTATTGTACACTTTTAGCAAATAAATAAACCGCCTTCCATTATTATTATTATTATTATTATTATTATTATTATTATTGTTATTATTGTTATTGTTATTGTTATTTTCTTTTCTTTTATCTATTTCCCAACCTTAAATTTTAGGAAGATTTGCTTATATACCGCATAATTCTTATGTAAAATTTTATGTGCATGCAACCTTTCATATGCTAGGAAAGGTGTGCCGTACTCTCTAGGAGTTAAAAAGTGGTGGGTTTTCAATGACAAAAGGTTATGTGATAGATATGTAATAAATGGAAATTCTGTGATGTGTATGTAAATGCCCTAAATTTTTTGGACGGGATTAATGATGGATAAAAGTAGGAGCAGTAAGCCCTAACCTGCCCGCCAAATGTAGATCTTAGGGTTTTTCTTGGATGAAGCAAAACGGCAGTGTTTACACCCACAACTAGCATATTGTAATATGCTCATCTAATTCGAAAAAATAGATGTGTAAACGAGTTCGGTTGAGCTTGAGACACTTTTCATTTGAACTTGAGCTTAATTAATCGGCTTGAGAATAAGTCTATGTTTGAGTTATTATTTATTATGAAAGGAAGAAAATAATAAGTTGAAGCTAGTGTTATAATAAAAATAAAATAATTAGAATATTATTTCATAAGAAATATAAATAATATTATTAAATTTTTTAATGTTTTAAAATAAAAAATTTAATTTAAATATGTTTTGAGGATATTTTAAATAAATATTTATGTAAAATAAGTTTGGCGCCTGAGCTTGTAAGTCTGAGTTGAGGATGGTTCGACTCAAATGGATCCTAAAACTTGATTTAACATAAATTTAATTAAATAGAGTTGATACATCTTATTGAGGTTCCTTTTCCCTAAGTAGTGTAATTGAAAGTGTTAATATTAATAATAAGCATTACATATATGATCAATAAATGTGGCCAAAAAGCCGCGACGGAGAGCGCGCCCGAAACGGCGAAACGTATAGAATAGCGCTCGAAGTAAAAAATCCGCACCAAACATTCGAAAATTCCCGCCGTTTCTTTTATTTACTCCCAAGTCCCACCCGTCGGCCGTCGGTCCTCCTCCTCTTCTTCCCGCTACTCTTTGAAGTCCCATTTAAGATACTCTCTTCTTCTTCTTCTTACTTTTCTTGCCCTTGGCTCGTATTCTATCTCTGCCTGCGCCATGGCCAGGCTAGGAAGAGCCAAGAAACAAGACAAGCTGGGCACCGGAAAGGTGACTCCAATGCAGATTGCTTTCATAGTGGATCGCTACCTCGCCGACAACAACTATTCCACGACTCTATCCTCCTTCAGATCTGAAGCCTCCGATCTTCTTTCCAGAACGCATGGAAAAGAGGTTATGATTTATTGTACAGCTTTCCTTCCTTACCTCACCCTCATTGCATCTCTAGCTATTTTGACATTAGCGACATGACCAGGTCCCGAAGGGGTTGATGGGGTTGGCCGACATACTTGACGATTACATCCGCCTCAAGGAACAGAGGTTGATCATGGATCGAGAGAAGCAGAAGGTTGAGGCGGCAATGAAGGGAATGCAGGATTTGATTCAGGTTTACCACTCTGAGCCCGCGGAAGGAGCATCTGTGCCTATTGCAACGTCTCCACTACAGATCATGGCGTCTCCGGCGGTTCCATTCCCTTGCGGATTGAACCCCATAAATCCCACGCATCTGAGTAATCCACTCTCCCTACGATATGTACATTGCTTTAGTCGCTACGATGCTTTAAGTAAGATAAATAATGTTATAATTTTTCCATTGTTTTGCACCTTTGGATAATTTGGACAATAAAGCTATCCATCCCGACTTAATTCTAAAACCGTAGAATTTCAGCTTGCTAAGCTTGATTGTCACATTATTTATACTAAATATGACATCTATACTCCTTTGAAAAATGTTTTTTGTTGTTGTTTCATATTTTAGACACGTCATTAAAATTGCATTTGTTTTTTTTAGCTATGAGATGTAAGGCGTTAATGTTCTTTTTCTTATTAATATTCTAGTGTATGATTAAATATGTTTAGAGAAGGTTTATTAATCTGCATTTGATTTATCAAGAAAATATTTCGTTTCAATATAAGAACAAGTATGTCTCAATGTGATAGGATTCAAATTGGGTAAGTTTATCTTATTCGCTACAGATAAGTTATTTAATTTACTTAGCTTCAAATATAATACAAAAAGAGATTATATTTCATACAAAGTTGTGGAGAAATGAATTGACATGTTTGTCTAATGGGGAGATACTGTGATCACCCATTGTGAAGATGAATGCTTAATGTTGACTTAGCTATCATTTTTCTTTTTTTATTAAAATGGGAGTTATTCCTTGCCATAACCAAGGTGTCTTAATTTTCCTTGAACTAAAAATGGAAAAACTTTGCATTTCGTCAAGAAGCTAAAGAACTTTTCTTGTAAATACCAAAAGAAATTATTTATTTTATTTATTTGTTGGTTTTGTTATGGATGCATAAAGTTATTGATTTATTCTCTTTGTATGGTCACGTTATAAGGTAAAATATGAATAATTTAACATGACTGCAATTTAATTTAGGTTGCTACCACCTTGAAAAAATAAATGTGAATACATTTAATATTGGTAATCACAAATCTATGAATAGAAATTGAATTGAGTACCCACAAATTTTGAAATTTAAAAATAATTTTTTTTCTCGTTTCTAACACAACTTGTATACTCATTTTATTAAAGATTACACAATTGGCTTTCTTAAGTTCTGGAAGTTTAGACTTTAATAGCTCAATTGATTTTGATAGAATAATTATCAAATCATATAAAATCAAAATATGATAAAACACTTGAACCAAGAGCAATACAATATTTTACCATACATGTTGAACATTTTGAATGTTTTTTCAATCGCAAATCTTGTGTAAAATTAAAGTGAATGGGACCATTTTTTACTCATTGCATGAATCATCGGATCAAATTGCTCAACAACTTCAAAGATTTATGTAATCATATTGAAGGCATCTTAAGATGTTTGATATTCTCTTAAATGTTATGAGTAATATGTTCAATTTGATAAATATTTAATAATAAATATCCAATAATTTTTTTTAGAAGCTCCTTATTTTAATTTTACACATACACATTTTTTTGACATTTTCTCTTTTACAACAATCTTTAAAAAAGGCAAAATTTGGAATTGGGGTATTTAACTTGACAAGGCAAAAATTCAAATTATAAAATAACAATAATATAAAATTAAGTTCTAAGATTTTCACTCACAAATTATCGAGCAAAATTTTAAACTATATTCTATTTCAAATATAACTAGGATGTTATTATTTTAACAAATCTCTATTTTAATTTAAGGTTATTTTAATTAATAGTTGCGCACAAAATTTCATAGTAATAATATGATTTATTTGGACTTGTTAGTTATTGAACAAGCTTGAGACGGTGAATCATTTGTGAATAAATTAAAATTTCATCTTTATTGGCAATGTAACTTCACAAAACCATATTAGATCTCCTTTTATACCCTTCATGCCTTTCATGAGTAAGTCTATCTACAATTTGGCTAGGGTATATTAAATATGATAGTTTCATTATTGCATATTAATTGTAGGGATTTTATTTGCATATGGTGGCTGTTTAGTGAAAGAACTTTCTGCTTTTTTAATTTAAAAATTTGAAATAGTCTAAATTGGTTAACCATTACGAGTTCCCGATTTGCTAAATTTGATTCATTTCACATTAGTTTGCTTTCTTGGTAGACTTTCTCTATGAATGAGTACTTGAGCTTCTGCTGATTTCTTCGATCAAACTGATATTTAAGCCTGGATAAAGAATGAAATCTGAAGTTTTACTAGTTTATTTATCTTACTCTACCAGGCTGGACTTTTTATTTGAAATTTAATGATTCATATTTACTTATTTTAATCCATTCACAGACAATATGATGCATATTCCTTCTATTAGCAACAATTCAAAACCACTTTTGTTGCCACCCAAGGCTGTTGGTACTAGTTTTTCTACCCCAACATATACACAGTCCTCCACTGAAAAGAGGAAGGCGCCAAAATCTATTGCTCAAGAACACACTTCTCCAAAGAAGCTCCGCACTCAGTCACCTAATGTCTCCAATATTGTACAAGGTAGCCCTTTTTTCTTGCTTTCTATTTTCCACAACTTCACAAACTTTCTTCGAATATAATCTCTCGTATATACTTTAACTGCTTTTTATCTTAGGATCTGGACTAAGCTCACAAGAAACTTCCACAAGCAATAATGCTAGACACAGCAAAGGGAAAAACCCACTTGCTCTTTCAACATGTGATGATAATTCAAATATTCAGCCTTCAGTTCAAGGTTCATCTGTTGTAAAGAAATTGTTCAGGCATTCAGAGGGTTTTCAGCCCATCGCTTCTTCTCCTAAGACTCCTCCTCAGGCACTTACCTCCCAAATGGACAAATCTCTTTCTCCTTTAGAAAATTCAGCTGTAAACGCTGCTGATACTAATAGCTTCCCTATTGTCTCCTCATCTAGCTGTTCTTTGATATCTTCCGAAACAATAATTATCAGCCCGCTTAAGCACAAAGGTTTCTATGCTGTTGAAAGGAGTTATCAGGTCACCTGTTCTCCCATTAAAACATGCTCAACTAAGCTTGGAAAGAGAGAGCATGTTAAAAGTAGACTTGATTTTGACAAGGCTGATGCTTTCGAGAGCATGGAAAAACCTTCTAAAGTTGATAATTCCACCTCTTCTCCTTCAGATACGGAAACTTCTGCTGGTCTCGACTTTGACCTCCCTGATTTTGGAATTTTTGATGGAGATTTCTTATCCGGACTTTTAGTCGACTTTGGTGATCACAATGAAGGCTTTTCTGGTTGCCATAATGAGAACGCTTGCATCATTGCTGGGTAAAGCTAAAATTTCCATACATTTTATTCTCCAACTCTGCTATCTTTTTCTCTTTAGATACTGTTTGATTTGATTGAGACTAAGTTGTCTTCTCCTTGAAAGTGCAGGCAGGAAGAAAGCGGGGGCTTTCAAAATTTACCTGATTACTCTATATCAGCAGCTGCTGGTGCTACTTCTGAATGTATAGGATTTCAAGGTTACACAACAATTCTTGAAGTAATCAACTATTCTATTCTTTCTCCATTGTTTTTACTACTCTATGATTGCTAAATATGTTCTCTAATCTGATTTTGATGTTCAGGAAGTTCTGACTGTGTGAATTCCGTCAAAAAGTAGCAACTTGAATCAAGATTTCAATAACTAGTGAGTCATTATAACTCATAATCATTTTTTAACTGAAAAAAATTTGCTCTGGATAGGTGCTGAATAATTTAGTTCATGAAAATTACATATTTTATTTCCTGAGATTGAGTGATTACATTACTTGCATTAAATCTTTATATCAACAACTTTGCATTTTTTTATGTGAATATTTTTTTGTTATTTTTATTTGTCAAATAGTTTTTTTTTAGTATTTATTATTATTATTATTATTATTATTATTATTATTATTATGGTTTGAACTTTTAAAATCTCATGCTCTGTAGAAATATTGCATTTTACATTGATTTGGAGAGCTGTTTAAAATTATTTGTTACTTCGAAAACTTTGCAGTTAAGAAGAGAGGGAGTTGCTCTATTGTCAATGGAGATTAACACAGGCTAAAGCATTGACAGCTTCTAAATTCAATAGTAAGACTGACTTATGAATTGTCGCCTCAAAAGTTGTAGCTTCAAACTAATATATTTGTTATATAGGTTTAATGCAGTTGAATCCAGACAATAGTAGATCTTGCTAAATAGCTCCCATTGTTGCTTTTTTAATTTATTCCACTATTTATATTATTGAATATGCATATTTAAGGCTTCATTGTGTGTGAAACTGATCTAATTGTATTTCTGATTTTCTTAATCTATCAGGTATATAGTTCAATCATAGTATTTATGTAAATAAAAACTATGATTATTCTTATGATTATCTATTATTATGATTTGTATTCTGAAAAGTAAAATTTATATTTCCAAAGTAACCTTATGTAAAAGAGTTTGTAATATTAAAATCCTCAGCAAGCTAATAAATTTGAGAGAATTTCAAATAATTCCAGTGATTTTACGGTTGATAATATAAACTTATAAATATGATCAAATTCAATTTCGTGTTGCTAAACATATGAATTTGGTGGGCAACGATTAGCGGTATATATGCATCATTTTGTTTTGTGGCATCCACTCATGTTTGACCAGGGCTACTGTATCCGCCCTTTTTTTTTTTTTTCCTTGAAATTTTTAAATTTAAATTCATAAAAGAAATGTCAATCATGAATTGATTTTTGTGGGTATAGATCACTTTTTCAAATTTTGGAAATTAAATTCGGAAATTAAATTCAATAATTGTTAGGTCTGAAGAAAAAGGGGTAATTCTAAAGATTTGAATGGTTCAAAGAAGAAGAGGGGAACTTTAGTGAAGTTAAGTTGATTGATTTTCTATGAACCATTCAAATCTTCTAGAATTACCCCTTTTTCTTCAGACCTAACAATTATTAATTCTAATTCATTAATCATTTAATTAATGAGACAATTAATCGAGTTTCGTAAAATTAACATCATATTATTAATCTAAAAAATAAAAAGCAATTCCTTTCTGAGACGCAATTCTATGCAAAGATCTGCATATTTTGAGAAAGCCTTCTTTAATCCACCCAATTATCTTAAAGAACATAAACTTGATATGTGGTCACAAATTTTCATCTAGCAGGAATCTTGAGATTATAAGTACGGTTCTCAGAGCATTTTTCGAGCAAGAACATTCATATTTTAATAAAAATCACATAGAACTTAAATTTCATCAAATTTACATTTTAATTAATTGGCTCAATATCATGGATATAATAACACAAATTGATTCAATTCAAGTCAGACCAAGATCATTTAAAAATTTTTTGGGTGCTTTGGTTGTTCAATTGGAAGGTCAAATAAATTTTAAATTTGACATGTTCGTCTAAAAAATGTCATATTATCAATAGAATCTTTTTGGGTCATCGGTTGCAAGTCTCCAAACTCCCTTCTTTTTTTGTGCGGAAGCTTTTTCTCAAATTATGTAAATAGATGCCTACCCCATCATGAAAAGTGATCTATACCATGAATCGAAAGAACATTTGTACTTGGAGCTAATTAGCAAAGAAACAAAATTCCAATGTTGTCTTTACATGTGATTTTTACTCTTTTGGGATTTCCATATGAAAGCTTGTGGTGTCTTTACTTGTTATTTCTATTATCTGGTGTGTTATGGACTTTCGTGTAATGTTGAGACACTAAATAATTACTTAATGGAAAAATAATAATTACTCCACCATCAATAAAATTAAGAATTCTAAAATCGTTGAATTTATTTTGAGAGGAGAAACATATGAATAAGTAATCCGTTCTTAATTATAATATTATTAAAATGAATATGATAGTTTTAAAATTTATTCTCATCAAATGTTCATTAAAAAAATTGTGATCTGATTGTTTCCAGAAAGCTCAGCAAGCCTAACTTGGAGACGCGTTCTTATTGACCATGTCCAACTATAAAACATATTCTTACTTCTGTATTTAACAAATCTAAAAAAAAAATATTAAGATGCCAAATGCCGGTATTTAAGAATCTAAATAATCATCCCCTAAATTAGTCAATATTGGCTCGTTATTTTCATCTACAATTCATTTGATTTCATCATCATTAAAATTATTGCTTAAAACCTTATTTGACTCATTCACATTAACATAATTTTGAGGTGTATATATACATACATACATATATACATGCATACATATATATATATATATATATATATATATATATATATATATATATATGGTTTTATTTATAGTGTTGAAATATGGCTAGTGTGTGGCTTAAATAAGTAAAATTTAGTCATATGCTCAAAGCTTGTTCTATCTCATGGTTGAATATAATTGATGTCATTGTCCTTCCACAATAAAATTCAGCAATCTATTTTGAGCCTATTTTTTCAGTTCAACATCTCAATATGATAGAGCATATTGATATTTTATTTTCTTATTTACAAAAAATACTTTACAATTTTAATGTTTTCGCACTTCTAACTTCTATAATTTAATACTTCTGTGTTATAATCACATCAAACTATATAAATAACTATTTATGTTTCCATTTAAGAAAAAGAATATTGGTGTTATGTAAATTTAGCTTAAAATTTAATTTATATACATAAACATAGAGTAATTACGTCGTAAATTCATAAATGGCTATGTATGTGGAACATACATAACCAACTCATGATTCTTATATATGTATTTAGAAGACTTTACGATGATGGTTGCATATATGATGATTAATATGAGTGCGAATACTAACTTTGTTGTTATGTTTAAAGTTACAAGAGTATAATGTAAAATGTCAATAGTTAATTTAACTCGGTTTAATTTTAGAATTATTAAATTTATCATACCATAAACATAATATAATTTTTCACAAGTACCTCATTTACGTTGGCAATACGTCTGTTTTGAAGTCAATAAAAGACTTTACACGGTGACTTTTTTTATAAATTATTTGGGTGAAAAAAAAAAAAGAAATTTGATTCTATCAGCAAAGTCTTCAAATTAAAAAAAGATAAAGAAAAAGAAAAAAAAACAGAGAATTAGTAAGGTACAAGTTTTAAACGTGTGTAGCATTGGAATCAAAAACATTTACGCGGAGACTTTTTGGAAATCCTCTATATAAACTCTCTAGGCCTTGCTCTTACCAACACCCAATAGGCGCCCAATACCTAATAGGAAGAGAAGAAGAAGAAGAAGAAGAAGCAGCAGCAGCAGATCAAATAACTGATCAATGGAGTTTAACATGCTGGCAATAGCTCTGATCCTCTCACTCTCCCTTCTCCTCCCAGCTTCCTCTCTCGGTAACTTCGCATGCATTGTCACCACCGTTTCAATTCTCAACACAAACTCCACTTGGCTATAACATAAAGATTTCTCAATTGTTTTCTGTTGCATAATTGATGCGCAGCCGGTACAGTAATCTGTGAAAATTTGCCCCAAAATCTGTGCTCCTTGTCGATATCTGGGACCGGCGAACGTTGCGTGCTCGAGAGCTACAGGAAGAGCGGCGAATCGACGATGGAGTATTACTGCAAGACTTCTGAGGTGGAGGTCGAATGGGCTTCGGATTGGATCGAAACAGATGAATGCGTGAAGGCTTGCGGTGTTGACCGAATGGCAGTCGGAATCTCTTCGGACTCTCTTCTCGATTCTCAATCGACTGCTATGCTTTGCTCGCCGGCGTGTTATCACAATTGCCCCAATGTGGTTGATCTGTATTTCAATCTTGCTGCAGGGGAAGGTAATCTAATTAATCATTTTCTAGTTAATTTGTTTGATTAATTCTGGTATTTGTGTTTTGATTATTGTGGACTTATTACAGAATTTGAATTAGTTAAATAATATCAATTGAAGCTATCAATTGGCTATATTTTTATTAAAGAATAGAAGGGTAGCTAATTACCAATCTCTGAAAAATGACATCATCATAAGTCCTCTCTGGTTTTCCAATTGCTTCTGGTATCCAAAGCTTGAAACACAATACCCATGTTTGAAATATTCTTCCCGTTTTGCTGTGAGAAGCATTACAAATTTATTTTTAAACTGAGGCCTTTTTTGGTAGCAGGCGTCTTTCTTCCAGACTTATGCGAGGCCCGACGATCGAACCCACACCGGTCAATGGTGGAGCTCGTACAGAGCTCTGGCTTGGTCAGCCCGCTTCAAGGGGATATTGATCCTTCGCCTGCACCTTCAGCTCAATAATCACCAAGTTCAGCGACATCTGACATTCAGTATTGTTTTTAGCTATTTGTTTCACTCCCCTTGCCATTTTGAAATTTAAGAATCTTATGCATGCAAGTGTGAGACAGAGTGGGGAGATTTTGTGTCATGTAAATTTACTTTATGCTCGACTGTTGTTATGAGGGACTTGTTTTGTTTTCTTATCTACTTTAATTTTCTTCTACATTGGTGCCCACTTAAAATTTGCTTCTTACATTGGCCATCCATTTAAAAAAAAATTGTCAAATAAATTGTGCATTACCGAGTGTCGCACACTGTGATCCAACAATATCATCATGAAACTTATGTTCAATTTTTTTCAAAAAGAATCCTTAAAAGTCTAGCTGTTAGATTCATAGTAGTTTCTCTATCATCTATTATGTAAAAAAAATGCAGAAATGAAGAAATTCACACAAGAACAATCAAACACAAAAAATTTATATGGTTTGACATTGAATTGATTCACCAATATCCACGAGGCGGGAGATTCCACTAGTACTGGTTGGAGAGAAATAAAAAATAACTTTGGGTTATACCTTCTGAAGTTCTCACAATACATCTCTCATAAGCCCTAAGTCCATTTTATAGAGGAGGACTAAAACATACAAGTAATTAAAGCTGAAAGATCAAATTACTCATAATTACAATAAAAACTATAACACGACAACCTTCACCTTTTCTATTTCTTTAAAATAAATGAGAGATGATCAAATGAGTTTCAAACTCCATTACAGTTGCACCAAAATGGTTGTCTATGTACCTCGTATCCCAAGGGGATCAAATCTTGCATAATTCTTCAAAATGTATGACTGGGCAATTAGTTCTGAGCTTGGATGTTCACCAAACTCCTACAATAGGTAAACTTCTGAACTTGTAGTACCTTCATGAGCATGTCCGTTGGATTCTCTTTCGAATCTATCTTCTTCGATAGAACCTTGCCGCCATTAATTTAGTCCTGAACAAAGTGATACATAACATAAATGTGATTGGTATGAGTTTGATGAACTGAATTTGTTACCAAAAAATTGCATTGTATTTATCACAAAATACCACCAGAGACTCCTGATCAACTTCAAAGTCATTCAATAAGCCCTGCATTCATATCACTTTTCTTATTACCTTTGTGACTATCATGTACTCAACATTTGTAGTAAACAAAGTAATGACAAACTGAAGAACTGACCTCCAATTAATTGGACATCTTGCCAATATGAATAAATAATTAGTCATAGATCTCTACCTATTTATATTGCCTACATAGTCTGACCAAGTGTAGCCTATACACAAATCTGCAATAGATGACTACTTCTTAAAAATCAAGTCATCAATTGTACCCTTCAAATATCTCAACATACTCTTCACAGTCTATCAATGTTCTCTTCTCGGATTATGCATGAACCTACTCACAACACCAACATATTGATTCCTCGTGTACACATGTCCCCTCATGAACTGATAAATTTTTTTATACCACTATTGCAGTGACGGCTTTGACCCATACAAATACTTGTACAGTTTCCAAACCAAATCTTTTGATACTTTATATCTAGGCGGTTGCAATATGTAGATCACTTACAATTTTTTTTGTATAGGAATATAGTCTTCACATCAAGATGTTTCAAGGTCTAATTGTATCGTGCTACAAGTGCTAAGAGAACACAAATTAAGAGATGCTTAACAGTTAGGGAGAGAACTTCAATATAGTAAATTTCTTCTCGTTGCACATATTCTTTTTCCACTATTCTTGTCTTATACTTCACACTGAAACAGACCCACAATTTTAGCTAATAAAAGTGGTCATTTGACCTTTTGCCACTTCTAAAGATGTGTAATTGCGTTTGTCCCATTTACGTTACTCCAACTCATACAAAGTTTATCAAATTAATTCAAACTTCTATAATCAAAAATTATTTTTTTAGTATTAAAATAATTTCTTTTTATATCATTAGTGAAATCCATCCCACCAAAATCTTATGCAGAGTTTCTATTGGGCATCCATCCTACCAATACTTTTCAATTGATCCATCACTGACAATTTAAGGTTTTAAGATGTGGGACTAAAAGGTACACTTGCACACAAAATTCTATGGCAAAACATTAGATCAAATGCATTGATATACATAACACTCTAATTCTATTTATTTAGAGATCTGACACCTAAATTCTGTTTTTTGCATTTATACCACTCAAAATCATTCATCCATAAAAAAATATCCCTTTTTTTAATTTTCAAAAAATAAAATATACTTTTATGCATATGTAAGTGACATATATGATAGAATTATAGTTTAGGTGTTAAATATGTAAATACATAAAAATTGCATAAATTATAAAAATTAGAAAAGCGCCAAGCTCAAACTCTTTTTTTTGGGTAACATATGCATTTAAATAAATTCATAAATCAAATATATTGGGTTTAAAAAATATTAAATAACTTTCATGGTATACTCTCTAATCAAATAATTCTAATATTAATAATACATCATCGAAACACCTAGAACAAATTTCAATCATCCGACATAATTTCAAAGCATTACACTAATCTCAGGAAAATTGTTTGAGCAAGAAATGTTCAAACTTCAATCAAAATTCATCATGACCTCTAATTTTAGCAAAAAATTCAGTCAAACTGACGGACTCGACAAGACGAACCCAATGACACTAAAGTTGGTCCAATTCAAACCGCACGAAGCCTCGATCAAGCCATTAAACCGTTTAATAAAAATTTTTGGGCATATTTGGAAGGTCAAACAAATGCTGAATCCGGCTAGCTTATAGTCAAATCAAGAGTCTCGACAAGAGGAATTCAACGAGGCTAAGATCGCACCATTCCTCGCTCTAACGCTTTGCTTAGACACTCTATCACACCCGCACGCTAAATTCTTTTTATTGTTATTAAACTTATAATGATTTATCCTTGATTTTTTTTTACCTATAAATAATTTTTTATTGGATTACATATTGCATTGACATATCAAAATATTAGCCTTATTAAGCTTCTATAGAAGTTTATCAAGTGAATTCAATCAAGGGCCAAAATATATATTTTGTTATCTAAATAATGAAGATTGACAAACATTAATTTTTTTTATGTAATAAATTTGCTCGCTCTCAAAAGAAAGGTTGGTTCCACCTCTAACTGCACATCAACTCCATGAGATTATTTCTTTTTGCATACACCCATTTGCACACGATGACATTCCTTTCTGAAGGAAGTTTCACAAACCTTCAACTATTATTCTTCTGAAAAGAACTTATCTCTTAATCCATTATCGCTCTACAAAGATCACAGTCCTGGCTCTCAACTTCTTCTTTGTAATGATAAGAAATTTTTGTAGGTATGACAAAAAAATGTAAATGCAATGTGATTCCTCAACCAAGTTTGTTTTGAGACATTTTGGCTCTTGATCATACTCCAGATTCAAAGAACACGACGCATCCATCACCTCGCATCGGCACGTGCCAAAATTTCATTTGTTGTCAAATTTCATCATATTAATTTTAATTGGATGCGTGAACACATGATGACTTGACTTTTCCATCGTCTTAGCTGACATTGAAGAACTTGACATACTATTATTCCTTACAGCAACTATTGAAATCATTTTCTCAAAAAAAAAAAAAAGAAAGAAAAAAACAAACAACAAAAAAATTCAACCGGAATAGAAATAAATTTCATAAGAACAAATTTTACTTTTTTATTCTCTGAAATTCTCTTTTTTATTTTTCTTTTTCCTTATTTTTTCCTTTTTTCCAATAATTTAAAAAAAAAAAAATTTTTTTTCTTTTTTTTCTTCCTATTTTCGTGAAATACCAAAAATAGTGTTTACCTTAAAGAAAAGTCTCATTTTGCTTGAAATTTTTCATTCTAGAACCGAAATTCTATTTCCCGTTTAATTTTTTTTAAAAAAAAATTCCTCCACTGTTTCCGAAATTTTCTTCTGCCAAGCTTTGCTTTCAAAAATAATGAACTTTCCTTTTTTTTTTTCTATTTTTTCTGCAAAACTCCACGTGAAAATCAATTTTCTTTTTGTCTTTCCACGCAATAATCCCGGTGGAACCTTCCTATGTAGGATAGAGCAGAGGTGCGCGACTGTTGGAAAGTCTGCCACTAAAACCGCCCCCGATCTGCCGCTGGACGTCCACCTATAGCTCCTCGAGACGTGCATAGCGTCCAAGTTTCCCGCCTGCCGCCGAATCTTCCGGCAAAGCATCTTAAATCACTAGCTGCAAAAAAGAAACTGACAACACATGTCAGATTTGCTGCCATCGAAGCTGATCTATACTCTAATCACTAACCCGATGCTCTCATACCATGTGAAAACAATATTTAAGAAAAAGAAATTCACACAACAACAATCAAACATAAATAATTTGGCGTTGAATCGATTCAACTGTATCCACGAGAAGGGTGATTCTGTTAAGGAAGGTGTGGAGCCCGATCCACTATAGCTTAGGCAAATTACATAATTTGCTAAACACGGTTTTTTCCTTTGCTTCTTTATCTGCTTTGCCTGTTTTGGAATCCTGCCTGCACTCTTCAAAAGCAAAATCACGCTCAACCTTCCCGCCTCCCTGCTCACGCGGTCCCACCATCTCCCTCACGCGGTCCCGCCAAAGCACTCTGCCTCACGCGGTTTTCTCATTGGGAATTACCTTTTTTAAGCTATTTTGTGCCTCTTACAAATAGCAAGGCAAAAGACCTGCAAAATACTCTCCACCAAATTCAATCTCTCGGTTGTAGCTTGCAAGAAAAGGGGCTGTTGTAGCTTTCTTTAGGATTGCTAACAGGGAAGAAATTCCTTTAATTTCTCTCACGTGGCCTAAGGAGATGATATGGCTGCAGAGTTTCTTGGTGGAATTGGGTAAGGAGGTTCAGAAAGGCACTTTCTACAGTGATAACCAGAGCGCCATATTCCTAGCTATAAATCCAACATTTCAATCCAGGACCAAGCACATTCAGATCAAGTATCACTTTATTCGATTATTGTTGGATGACAGACAATTACTACTTGAGAAAATTTGTGGAAGCAAGAATCCTGCTGATATCTTGACCATGGGCGTTACACTTGAGAAACAGAAGTTGTGCTCGACTTCAGTTGGTCTTCTAGCTTGAAGACATGGGCTTTGAGTTGCAGAGGTGGATGATATCACGTTTGAGAAAAAAAAAGGAGCGGTGCAGTCAGTGTCCCAGTCTCCAAGTGGGAGAATTGTTAACGAAGGTGTGGAGTCCGGTCCACTGTAGCTTAGGCAAATTACATAATTTGTTAAACATGATTTTTCCTTTGCTTCTTTATCTGCTTTGCCTGTTTTGGAATCCTACCTGCACTCTTCAAAAGCAAAATCCCACTCAGCCTTCCCGCCTCCCTGCTCACGCGGTCCCACCATCTCCCTCACGCGGTCCCGCCAAAGCACTCTGCCTCACGCGGTTTTCTCATTGGGAATTACCTTTTTTAAGCTATTTTGTGCCTCTTATAAATAGCAAGG